CCGCTGCTGTATAACCTCTCCTCACGCCAGTTTCGCTCTGCGTTCTGGCAGACACTCCTGTGCCGTTTGTCTCTCGAGCACGTCAACAGAAGAACACTGGAAAGCAGTCAAGCCTCAAAGAGCTCCAGTAGCACCGTACGCCCCCTGCTGAGACGATCGCTAAACCGCGTACGGACAGTCGCCAGCGACAGATCGACAACTCCATCGTCAGAAGAGAGACAAAGTACTCCGAACCCCACAGAGCGACAACCGGCCAGCTCTGAACCACAGGAGGAGGAGAGAACTCAAGCCACCACACTACCTAACACTAACTGATCAACAAACTAACTGTACAACTGAAGACTGCTGACCACTAAAGACTGCTGGAGATTGCTTTACAGCATGCTGTAGACCACTGTAGATCACTCTAGACCACTGTAGATCACTATAGACCACTGTAGATCACTATAGACTACTGTAGATCACGATAGATCACTGTAGACCACTGTAGATCACTATAGACTACTGTAGACCACTGTAGACCACCATAGACCACTGTAGACCACTGTAGACCACTGTATAACACTGTAGACCACCGTAGACCCCTGCAGACCCCTGTAGACCACCATAGACCACTGTAGACCACCATAGACCACTGTAGACCACTGTAGATCACTACAGACCACTGTAGACCACCATAGACCACTGTAGACCACCATAGACCCCTGTAGACCACTGTAGACCACTGTAGATCACTGTAGACCACTGTAGATCACTACAGACCACTGTAGACCAGTGTATTACACTGTAGACCACTGTAGATCACTATAGACCACTGTAGATCACTATAGACTACTGTAGATCACGATAGATCACTGTAGACCACTGTAGATCACTATAGACTACTGTAGACCACCATAGACCACTGTAGACCACTGTATAACACTGTAGACCACCGTAGACCCCTGCAGACCCCTGTAGACCACCATAGACCACTGTAGACCACCATAGACCACTGTAGACCACTGTAGATCACTACAGACCACTGTAGACCACCATAGACCACTGTAGACCACCATAGACCCCTGTAGACCACTGTAGACCACCATAGACCACTGTAGACCACTGTAGATCACTGTAGACCACTGTAGACCAGTGTATTACACTGTAGACCACTGTAGGTCACTGTAGATCACTGTAGACCACTGTAGACCCCTGTAGACCACTGTAGACCACTGTAGACCCATGTAGACCACTGTAGATCCCTGTAGACCACTGTTGACCCCTGTAGACCACTGTAGATCACTGTAGACCCATGTAGACCACTGTAGATCCCTGTAGACCACTGTAGACCCCTGTAGACCACTGTAGATCACTGTAGACCACTGTAGATCACTGTAGATCCCTGTAGACCCCTGTAGACCCATGTAGACCACTGTAGGTCACTGTGAACCACTGTAGGTCACTGTAGGTCACTGTGAACCACTGTAGGTCACTGTAGACCACTGTAGGTCACTGTAGACCACTGTAGACCACTGTAGGTCACTGTAGACCACTGTAGACGACTGTAGGTCACTGTGAACCACTGTAGGTCACTGTAGACCGCTGTAGGACACTGTAGACCACTGTAGACGACTGTAGGTCACTGTGAACCACTGTAGGTCACTGTGAACCACTGTAGGTCACTGTAGACCACTGTAGGTCACTGTAGACCACAGTAGAAAACGGTATACCACTATAGATCACAGCAGACAGCCGATGACCACTGCAGACCACTGTAAATCACTGCAGACCCCTGTAGACCACTGTAGACCCCTGTAGGTCACTGTAGACCACTGTAGACCACTGTAGGTCACTGTAGACCACTGTAGATCCCTGTAGACCACTGTAGACCACTGTAGGTCACTGTAGACCACTGTAGGTCACTGTAGACCACTGTCGACCCCTGTAGATCACTGTAGACCACTGTAGACCACTGTAGGTCACTGTAGACCACTGTAGATCACTGTAGACCACTGTAGACGACTGTAGGTCACGAACCACTGTAGGTCACTGTAAACCACTGTAGGTCACTGTAAACCACTGTAGGTCACTGTAGACGACTGTAGGTCACTGTAGGTCACTGTGAACCACTGTAGGTCACTGTAAACCACTGTAGGTCACTGTAGACCACTGTAGAAAACGGTATACCACTATAGATCACAGCAGACAGCCGATGACCACTGCAGACCACTGTAAATCACTGCAGACCCCTGTAGACCACTGTAGACCACTGTGGGTCACTGCAGACGACTGTAGGTCACTGTAGACCACTGTAGGTCACTGTAGACCACTGTAGAGCACTGTAGAGCACTGTAGAGCACTGTAGACGACTGTAGGTCACGAACCACTGTATGTCACTGTAGGTCACTGTAAACCACTGTAGACCACTGTAGACCACTGTAGGTCACTGTGAACCACTGTAGGTCACTGTAGATCACTGTAGACCACTGTAGACGACTGTAGGTCACGAACCACTGTAGGTCACTGTGAACCACTGTAGGTCACTGTGAACCACTGTATGTCACTGTATGTCACTGTAAACCACTGTAGGTCACTGTAGACCACTGTAGAAAACGGTATACCACTATAGATCACAGCAGACAGCCGATGACCACTGCAGACCCCTGTGAACCACTGTAGACCCCTGTAGACCACTGTAGGTCACTGTAGACCCCTGTAGACCCCTGTAGATCACTGTAGACCCCTGTAGACCCCTGTAGATCACTGTAGACCACTGTAGACCCCTGTAGACCCCTGTAGATCACTGTAGACCCCTGTAGATCACTGTAGACCACTGTAGGTCACTGTAGACCCCTGTAGATCACTGTAGACCCCTGTAGATCACTGTAGACCCCTGTAGATCACTGTAGACCCCTGTTGACAGTAGATCACTGTAGAAAACGCTATCACAGCAGACCACAGTAGATCACTGCAGACCACTGCAGATCACAGCAGACCTAGATGGTTTAGAGTTTATAAACTTATATCACAATTCAGGACATGAAGCAGTACATGGGTCAAATGTGAAATGAGAGTGAGGGACCAAGAAACTGTAACCATAATGAACCAGGAAAAGGGCAATACTCATAATACAATAATAAGAAATATTAGTGATGTTTCTTGAAAAAGTATTTTGTCAGAAAATTTGGCTATTTCTGAATAACTTTCAGTAGAGAAAGATGCAGTTTACCAGCAGAGTCTAACTGACCCATGTTAACTAGCAGCCAAACCACTCTTTTAAACCTTTGGAGTTAACTGGGAATCTCAGATTGATTGATACGATTATATATCGTATCACTTTATTTATAAAGTCCAATTAAGACACTCTACTAACAACAAGTACGTCAACTTATTCTAATAACCCCGACCCTAACCTAACACTCTACTAATACTGCAATGAAAGTTAGTTGAGATGTAGTTGCAAAGTTACTTATAGTTAGCAGAATGTCTAAAGTGGACTGACTATCCATCCATCAATCCAAAAATGATTTTTCAAAGTTGTAAATAAAGATTATTGGAGTATGACAATTGTTTTTTGTTGTTGTTTTTTTAACAAGAAAATACAATTTCAGTCTTTCTTCTTTAAATTTTGTTTCGTGGCAACCAATACAGTGAGACTATAAGACCCGGTTCTCAGGGATTCAACGGATAAAGTCCTGAAGCCGGACGCTCCGCCACATCCAGCTCCGAGGGTGGTGGAGGACTCAACAGGCTTTCACTCTGGAGAAATATAAGCACACGGTAGGACGCAGCAAGCCGACAGAGCCTATTTACCCATTTAGGGTGAGAACATGGCAGGAGATCAGCTCTACATGTAGGCTATAAAACCTAGAGAATGTGTTAGGTGTCGCCAAGCCCACAGCTCTACAGATATCTGTTAGCGAGGCGGCACGTGCCAACGCCCAGGAGGATGCAACGCCTCTCGTGGAGGATAAGCCAAGGCGATGGCATCCACTATCCAGTGGGCCAACCTCTGCTTGGAGACAGCCTTTCCCTTCTGCTGGCCTCCGTAACAGACAAAGAGCTGGTCTGAGGTCCTGAGGCTTTGAGTTCTGTCCACGTACAGTCGCAGAGCTCGGACAGGACAGAGCAAAGCCAGGGCTGGGTCTGCCTCCTCCAGGGGCAGCGCTTGCAGGTTCACCACCTGGTCCCTGAAGGGAGTGGTAGGAACCTTGGGCACATAGCAAGGCCGGGGTCTCAGTACCATGTGGTTGTCACCCGGCCCAAACTCTAGGCACTCTTGATAGAGGCCAGTGCAACCAGTAGCAAAGTCTTCATGGACAGAAGCTTTAAGTCTCCTGACTGCAGATGCTTAAAGGGAGCATCCTGAAGTGCTCGGAGCACCAGGGAAAGGTCCCAAGAGCGTAAGGAGAGGGATCGAGGAGGATTTAACTGTCTCGCCCCCCTAAGGAACCTGACAACCAGGTTGTGCTTCCCCACTGATTTGCCATCTATGTGGTCGTGATACACTGAAATGGCGGCAGCATGTACTTTGAGGGTGGAGGGAGACAGCCGGAAGGAATGCACAGACCCTATCAAACATCTTCGGTGGTCCTCTCGGTGAGAGGAACACCACTCGACAAACAGGTTCCACTTCAAGGCGTAAGTGCGTCTCGTAGATGGTGCTCACGCTGAAGCGATGGTGTTAAGTACCTAACGATGCTTAGTCACCTAGAACCTCCGCGTCCCATCCAGGGACCAGACATGGAGTTTCCAGAGGTCCGGACGCGGGTGCCATAGGGTGCCCCTTCTCTGAGAAAGAAGGTCCTTCCTCAGAGGAATGGGCCAAGGAGGGGCTGTCACAAGGAGCTTGAGTTCCGGGAACCACGTCCGGGTGGGCCAATAGGGACCTGCACCTCGTCCTCCCTGACTTTGCACAGGGTTTGTGCAAGTAGGCTCACTGGGGGAAGCTGTGTGCCAGTGCATACGTGCCGAGTGTTCCCTCGGTCAGGAAGTAAAACAGCTGGCAGTGGGAGGTCTCTGGAGAGGCAAACAGGTCTATATGAGCCTCCCCGAACTCTCTCCAGATCAGCTGAACCGCCTGGGGGTGGAGTCGCCACTCTCCCGGGAGCGCAGCTTGTGATAGCTCGTCGGCCACACGGTTACGCACACGACCTTAGACCACACGAATGGCCCGAAGCGACCTTAGATATTTCTGACTCCAGAGGAGGAGATGGCGGGCGAGTTGCGACATGCAACGGGAGCGAAGACCACCTTGCCGGTTGATGTACACAACGGTCGCAGTGTTGTCTGTACGGACCAGTACGTCCCTGCCCTGCAGCGGCCTCTTTAAGCGGCTCAGAGCGAGACGTACTGCCAGCAACTCGAGGCAGATGCATCTGTGAACACCACAGCACGCCTGGACACCTGTTCCAAAGGCACTTCTGACCACGGGCTGAAGGTCACGACTCGGCCGTGAAACCAGTGCTGAAGCAGTCTCATATGGAGCAACCCGAGCGGTGTTACCGCTGCCGTCGCTGCCACATGCCCCAGGAGCCTCTGAAAAAAAAAATCAGTGGGACCGCCGTTCTGCCTTTGAACGGGTCCTCTGTGAGGCGCTCTGTTTGTGTGACCGAATCCAATTCCACACCGAGAAATAAGATCCTCTGCACGGGGGAGAGTTTGCTCTTTTCCCAGTTGACCTGAAGAGTAAAGACCCAAGTGGCCGAGGTGACTGAGCACCAGATCCCTGTGTTCGCATAACTGATCTCGAGAGTGTGCCAGTATGAGCCAGTCGTCGAGAAAGTTGAGAAAGTGACCGACTGATATGGAACTGAAATATATATATATATATTTTAAAACAATTACATGAAATAAAATATAAAAAACGTATTTTTATTTCATCTAGTTGCCAAGACAACATTTCTCATTTTCATTTAAGTTGAAGTAGTAAAATAACCTAAACTAAAACTGAAACTCAATAAAAAACTAGACATTTTAAAAATGCAAAAACTAATATTAATAACAACTGACTAAAAAACGAACAAAACTGACTTAAAAAAATTACTAGATAAGCTTGTGTTTTGTTTACAGCTATCAATCTGTTCAATTCTCTTACCAAAGATAGTTGCAAAGTGATTAAAGACCATAACAAATATTAAAGGCTTTAAATATGGCTCATTTTCATATGGATGCCTTCATTGTTTGATCATTCCAAATCATTGGCAAAAGTGCCCAAACATCGGTTAATCATTAATGCTGCAGCCCATGTAGATAACTTTTGAATAAACTTTATTTTAATATATAGTTAAAATACAATGCTCTTGCAATGCATGATGTCATTTATTAGACACATAACCTACTTAATAAACTTCTTCTGTTCCAGTCATAAATGCATTTTAGGAAACTTAGGTTTTGTCATAATGTTATTTTAAAGAAGACAATGAGGAGATATGATTGATATAATCAGTACAATCTGAAGAAAAATCTGAAGAATCCCACAAACTTAATAACATGTATATAATAAGTAACGCTTCTCCTCACTGATTCAAAGTAAAACCTGATTGTTGGTGCAAACACTGCAAAAATTATTGTCTTTCTGTCTTGTTTTCCAGTACAAATATCTCAACATTCTTATTAATAAACATTCTTGTTTTCCCTTTGAATTAAGTTTATTTTTCTGACCCCCGTGGCAGTTATTTGTTCTAGTTTGAACCAAAAATACAGAGGAAGAGCATTATTTTTGCAGTGTACTGAAAACAACATTTGGCCCTCAGCTGGGCTTTTCAATGCCGTCCTCAGAGAAGAAAGCCGTCAGCTCCTTTCCATCAGGAACGTATTTTATATTCTCAACCTCTCCTCCATAGTTACTGGGCTTCTGGAAGTGGATTTCTAGATGGTCCTGAAGATCTTCTTCATCCATCAGCCCCTGAATTCCCCCCAGAAGTACGGTGCGATTCGGGGCCCCTGAGTACGTCTGCAATGTGACAGCAAACACCATCAATCAAATGCATGCTCTTCCTCACTGAACACCTGTTTATGATGTAGAAAATGAACGCGTATGTGTGTTGTTGAAAACATACTTGAAATTTCTTGAGCTGGTAGTCATACAGAGGAAGCACGTCCACCACCACGTCGCTGCCGGTGTCTACACAAAACTTTCCTCTGAGAGACAAATTCTCCGCGACTGAAAGTGAAACCAGAAAGACTGTCGTGAAGAACTATGAATCTGACAGATAATAAACTTCATAACTGAGCGGAAACATCCAACCACAGATACAACAGACTTGCAAAACCTACAGTGGCTGAATTATGACAAAAGTTAGTGCAGATCAGTATGGGACATGTACTGGGAATTAATTATAATTTAGTTTGAATGATGATATCCCTTCATTCTAGAGATATTCCCATTCAGGGACTGTGGAAAAACATCTTCAAATAATGTGAAAGTCTAGTTGTAAATCATCGCCATCTCCGTATGAACGACAGAGAAAAATGCACATAATGGATTACATAATCAGAGAGTAGCCTATTTCTTTTTGTTTTGAATTGTTTCGTTTAAAGAGATTTCGAGCTTTCTATATATTTCTCATGTCTGTGAGGCATACGCTGAGTTTCGGCTAATTTATGATGAGGTGCGCTCCAGTTCACGCGCAACAAGTGACTGTTATCTGCTATATTTGCTTGTTATTTATTAAATCCAGGCAATTGGTTGATAAAAAAATTATTAAAATTAAGATACAATTTATACAAAACGAAATTCACTTTAAAGAAAGGCTTTCTTCAAAACAAAAACTTAATGAAGTGGTCAAAATCATGTCTCCCGATATATTGCGCATCCATCTTACTCATGCTGTTCACTTTTCAGAATCAACATAGATGGAAAAAAAATAACATTATAATATTTTAACAAATATGAAACTAAATGCGCTTATTTAATGGCTACAACATGTATAGTAGGCCTAGACTCTCTATTTAAATTTTTGCACATTCATTTAATTCTGAATTTTGCACACAAGTTGAAAGGCATTTGTTTACGTGCATAGTAAAATATATCTGCAACATTTATCAAGTTCACGGATAATTGTGCGCGCATTTATTAATCATTATGATACTAAAATCATAATAAAGTAGGCTGTACAAAAAAATCAGATGAGCCCAGAATATGAACACAACGTGTTTAATTACACGTTAAGCATTTTCCTCCCATAGAAAACCATTATAAGAACGCTTAATTTGGCTTAATGCAGATTAGAATGTCCCCTTATTATGTCGAAATAACAAGATAAGTTTTAATTTTTTTTCTTTACCATGCGGTTCAGGACTTCCATAGAATTATTTTTGGGGGTGCTAACGGGGAGCTTTGCTCTTTCTTGGGGGCTTTCTTTCTCACCCATGCATATGCCTATCCATTAACGGGCATTTCTTCATAAATATTAAAATTTTTGATAAATGCATTATGCATTTATGGCATTATATATGGCATTATGCATAGTAGAACTTTATTTAGGCCTACACATTTAGGAACAGATATTGGGTTGTGCCCAAAGTCAAGCAACATAAAAGTAACGTAAAAGTAACTAGTAACGTAAAAAGTTACTTTCCATATGGGGTAACTAAGTAAAGAACGGATTACTTTTTTTAAGACTTAACGAGTAACGAGTTACACTACTTTTTAAAAGTAACTTCCCCAACACTGTACATTACCCAGTAGGGGTGTGCAAAGCAGCCGGTATTTGTATCTGTATTTGTATTTGTTGAGGGGGGAAAAGTATTCGTATTTGTATTCGTATTCGTGTAAAATTCAAAATAGGCCTAAAAATCTAGTTTGGAGTTGACTGGATTGTTGGGGTTGGGGGGGGGGGGGGGGGGGACTAGCTTTCATAACGCACACACGCAAGGTCTCTCGCTCTCTCCCTCTCTCTGCCATGCGCGCGCTTCACGGTTTGGAGCACAGTATGTTCTCTCTCGCATGCGCGTTAGATTCCGGGAGATTTGAACTAATTTCAGGGAGCCGCTATCAATAGAGACTTGGGATGTCTGCGTACCATATAACTCCCACAAGTGCATACAATTCGACACAACTACACAAGCATTTTTTAACCTTTTTAACCGAACGTTAACGTTACTCTGTCAACAGCCTATTGTCTAAATTACCGAGCTAACAGAGCTACGTAAACAGAGCGAACATGAGAGCATCCGACTGCAGACGTCAATAATGCAGCGTAATGGAATAATCTCCCGATCAAACTCCGCTTCCCGAAAGTTATAAACTGCCTCCGGAACCCAGTTAAGGTACAAAAATCTATTAAACAAAAATAGTGGTGCATTTAAGTGTTTTTTCGCTCAGCCGAGCCCTCTCTGTTGCTGTGTGGAGCAGCCTGTGTCAGTCACCTCTTCCTGAACGTCACTCACTCACTCACTCGTGCATGCACTGCGGTCTCGTGAGGAAACGCAGCTTTTTGATATAAAGTTTTTCTTGTTCCCGAATACAAATATTTTTTTAAGTATTTGTTCGAAATAACTATTCGTAAAAAACACGTTATTTGTACCTTTCCGAATACCGTATTCGGGTTCGGCTCCACCCCTATTACCCAGCTAACAGGGATCGTTCTCAGAACGTTCTGGCAAGGTTTAATCAAAGTTATGAACAAACTTCCAGCTTCCAGTAACATTAATAGACTGTTAGTTCAAAGTAATCTGGTCTTTAATAACGTTCTGAAAACATTAGCACAAAAACATTATTTAAGCATTATTTTGTTTTTTAAACGCTGTTTCAGAATGTTCAGAGAACTCTCCAAAGTAAACATTCTCTGAATGAAAATTATTTTTATTTTTTTTATTTAATGTTCCCTTAACGTTCGCTCTTAAAAGAATGAAGAAAAAAAAACAATAGATTTGAACGATCAGGAAACATTTAAAAAACAATTTTATAACTTAACAGGAATGTTAGCAAAACATTCCTAGAACATATTTTTGTTAGCTGGGTATGTGCTTCCCAATTTGCATACTTGTGCACTATTCTAAGCCATTTTGCAGCATAAATAGTCTCACGCAATCGCTCTCTCACTGATGCATTCATACAAATGTGTTCTTTACTGTGCTACTTTATCTGTATCTCATTTAGAACGAGACGAAATCTGTGAGAAATATAACGAGCCAAAGACAAACGAACTGATAAAAATAATCTGTTATTGGAGCACTGTGTCAAATGCCATAGCTGTGCACAAGACAACCCGTGTTCACTCTCAACTCAGGCTTATTTCTTCATTATTAACGTAATCTGCGACTATTCGACTCGACTTTAATCACATAAATGTCCAATTAAAAAAATTCAGAAGTAATTCAACCTCTAGTACATGAAGTATGAAGTGTATAGTACGGCATTCCTATCACAACTTCTATGATGAACACAAAACACACAATAATAGTATAGAAGTTCAAAACAACATCATGTGAGGATAAAGACACACCTCCAGTGTTGACGAAAGTTACGCGGCCTGTGCCGTTACTCTTGTTGTACTCCAGTTTTTCCACTTCACCTCCACCTCGACTGGCTCTAGAGAAGGACAGCTCCAGCCGGTCTCTCATTCGCTCCTCGGGTAAAGTGGGCGGGGCGTTGCGGAACTTGATGGTCTTCTTGGATACCTTGATGTGAACCTGCATGGACAGAAGTGATTCACGTCAACAAAGAACACATTATTCTGAAACAAATCTGTGATACTAAGGATATGAACATTTTGGCCAATGCCGATAACGGATAATTCTTTATATTTGAAAGCCGATAACCGATATATTGGGCGATAAATCCAAATCCAAATTTTTATATAATTTTTAAGAGCCTGATTATAAAAAAACAAAAGTCTCCATGTCCCAAGCACACAATTATAATGATGTTTTTATTATAATTTTATAGCCTATATGCAGTGATGGGAATACTAACGCCATTACTTTTTCCAGTAACGAGTAATCTAATTGATTACTCTTCTCATCTTAATAACGCCGTTCCCGTTACTGCCAAAAAATGCGGCGCGTTACTATAACTGATGAAGCTGTATTTTTTTCATCAGACCAAGTAGATCTCTGAGTGAGAGGCAAATACTTTTTTTTATTGTTCTTCCTTGGTTAGTGGGCAGAGCTCTACGAGTCAAGCACATAAATGCTGACGACTGAGGTAGAGTAAAATGTCATTGTAAGCCAATCAGAGGTAGAGTTGGGCGGGTGTTCGAAAGCACGCATAGTAGTGATGGGCATTCGGCTCTTTTGACTCAGCTCACTGAAAAGAGCCGGCTCTTTTGGCTCACAAACGGCTCTTTAAATGACTTTGACTATAATATTTCAATTTTTATTACATAATTATTTAATTTCTATAGGCTAAATTTGTAAAAATAGAGTCGGCTCTCCAGATATGCGAGCCAGCTCCCGACGTTCACCTAAAAGAGCCGGCTCATTCGCGAATGGCGAACGACCCATCAAAAGCTCATTCGCGAACGAGTCGATCCATCATCACTAACGCTCATTCGCGAACGACCCATCATCACTAACGGCTAACGCTCATGAATTGCGAACGACCCATCATAACGCATAGTCAGACAGGGTAGAGGTGGGGTCACATTTGAGCATTTAAAATTTAATTTTACTTGAAAGTAACGCAATAGTTACTTTCTTAAGTAACTAGTTACTTTTAAAATTTGTAACTGAGTAACTAATTTAGTTACTTTTTGGAAGAAGTAACTAGTAACTGTAACTAATTACTTTTTAAAAGTAACTTGCCCAACACTGCCTATATGACAGACTTGCACTGCACATGTTGTACCTAACCGTAGCAATTCCAATCATAATAATCCATTATTGGCTGTAATATATCAATTTTTTTTATGTGATATATCGATCATTTTTTTATTGGGCTGATAAGGATACCATTAAAAATGAACAGCTGATACTGATATGGTGGCCGATATATCGTGCATCCCTGTGTGATACAATCCCTCATTTCAGCTCTGATGAAAAAAACTCAAATCGCTCTACCTCAAACTTCACGGAAGGATCCAGAGATAAAGAGTACGGCTTCACATCCATCTTGGATTTGTCACAGGTCACCGAGCACTTCGCCAGTCTGAGGATCTGCTCTGCCACTGAAAGACACACAACAGAGACAGTGTGTCCACATTATGAGAAACACACACTGAACAAAATTATAAACGCAACACTTTTGTTTTTGCCCACGTATTTCATGAGCTGAACTCAAAGATCTAAGACTTTTTCTATGAACACAAAAGGCCTATTTCTCTCAAATATTTTGTTCACAAATCTAAAGGCCTTTTATTGTAGACAGCCTAAGGCACACCTGTGCAATAATCATGCTGTCTAATCAGCATGTTGATATGCCACACCTGTGAGGTGGATGGATTATCTCGGCAAAGGAGAAGTGCTCACAAACACAGATTTAAACAGATTTGTGAACAATATTTGAGAGAAATAGGCCTTTTGTGTACATAGAAAAAGTCTTCGATCTTTGAGTTCAGCTCATGAAAAATGGGGGCAAAAACAAAAGTGTTGCGTTTATATTTTTGTTCAGTGTGTATACAGTAGTGGCAAAAGTAGTATTTGTTTTTATTGACTTACAAGTTCAGTTAAACCAGTGTTTCTCAACCTCTCCTGCAGGGACCCCCTGACAGGCCATGTTTTTGTTTTAACTCTGAAATGGCACACCTGATTCAAGTAATTAAAGGCTTAATGAGTAATTAGAGTAGGAATAGTTCAATTAATCAATTAGTCAACTACTCATTAAGCCTTTAATGACTTGAATCAGGTGTGCCATTTCAGGGTTAAAACAGAAACATGGCCTGTCAGGGGGTCCCTGCAGGAGAGGTTGAGAAACACTGAGTTAAACCATCAAAATATGAGGAAAATATTAGAATTTTTCCACCCAATATTTGTAATATGAGGGAAGAACAAAACACTACACTTAGTTAATGTATTTATCTGACAAAATTATTTGGCAAAAAGGCAAATTACAGCTACAGGTTTTATTTTACTATGCATTGAAAAACATAGAAAACATAAAATCTCACAGGAAAATCAAGTAGCAATGTTAGGAAAACTTCCTACTTGCATCCCTATCTCACTAATAAATATATCACTGTTGTTGATGGATGTTCCTAGAATTGTCGTTTTCATTCATCTTTGATATATTTGTATTGTATTTGTTGTTTAAATTGTGTTTTTATGTGAAACTTTATGTCGCCATCTTGACCAGGACTCCCTGGAAGAAGAGATTTTATATTTTAAATGGGACCTTCCTGGTAAAAGAAAGGATAAATAAACATCCAGCAGAACCCACGACACCAGGATCTCTCTGTTGCAACTCTTACATAAATGGATCAAAGCAAATAAAACCAGAAAAAATGCACAGATCATGAAAAAATGTGATTTTGTCGATCTTACCCTTCTCCTCCTCAAACGTGATGAGAGCCTGGCCGCCCTTCAGGCGAAACGAGGGTCTTTGTGTGACCGTGAACACAGACGCCACGAAATCCTCTCTCTCGTCTCCCTCTTCCGCCTCAAGACCACGAGTAAACTTCACTGTTTTCACTGGGATTTTGGCTTGTATCTGCATTCAGAGAGAATGAAGAGTTATTGGTCAGTTACAGACAAGTATTCATATACATCACTTTAGATTCTGGGAAAGGACTATGGGCCCTATCTTGCACCCAGCGCAATTGACTTGGTACACCGACGCATGTATCATTCGTATTTTGCACCCGTGCAAAGCGGACTTTTCCCTCCACAGACGCACGCCGACAAACTAGGGAATGAACTTGCGCTCCCTGGGCGGTTCAGCGCAAAAAAGGAGGCGTGTTCCGGCGCAAACAATCCCTGGTGCTATTTTGCAGTTCCAGAAAACGATTGCGCCACTGACCAGAAAAACCCTAGTCTAAAGTCAGTGGCGCGTTGCGCGTACATTCAGATGCTATTTTAAGCGCGCATGCTTGGCCATAATACAGAGTGTGAACAATGCGCATACACTGTAGATGATTCTCGCATCTACACAGATGCATTTTACTTTTTGCAAATGATATATTATTATAAGGAAAAATATTAAAACACGAGGGAAATCATTGTTGTGTCCATGACGATGGGAAAAATAGGCATAAAGCTTACACATTTACCCAAATTATTATATACATGTTTAACCGAAGCTAATTTGGGTGGGTTTGTCCCGTCCCCAATGTCACTTCTCTTTCTTTTACGGCCCCGACGAGAACATCGATCTCCTCGGCTGTGAACCGATTCTGGTAAATACGCCGTTATAATAGTATTGCGCCATGGAACAAGCGCACCTCGTTCATCATGCTCTTAAAGGGAATGTTATATGACGCTCTTATTGGTTTGTTTCCCGTTACGCCCAAACCACACCTATGAATAATGAAGCTACTTCAGACCAACTCGTTTTAGATTTGCGTCGAGCGCAAGACTCATTTTTTTCCCGCCAGTTAAATAGCAACAGCGCCGAGATCCGCCCACAAAGTTACTTGCGCTTTGCGCTTGACACGTGCGTTTTAGATCGTTAAAATAGGGCCCTATGTCTGAGTTGAGTACGCTTAGAGTTTTAGGCTAAAAAAATGTATTAAAGAAAGATGTGACATGGCAATGAGGCACTACATGTATCACTACACTTCCATGAAGAACCTTTAACATCCATGGAACCACTAAGGTTCTGTCCGCAGTTTTCCCTCTTTGTCGCCATCTCTGTTCGAAATCTGCAATTGCAGTTATTATCTGAATCATCAACTTTATGTCAAGTCAAGTCATCCTCATTTATATAGCGCTTTTAACAATGTGGATTGTTTCAAAGCAGCTTTACAGAGATAAACATATAATTTAAGGTAAGGTTTTATAGCGGTTCTTGAATAATGTTATTTTCCAGCTAGAGTTAGTTTTGATTGATTCACTTCCGTCGAAATGATCATTTGTTATTAAATTAGCGGCCGCTAAGACGACACCGTTCTCTCTAAACAGACTATAAACTGAACCTGTGATAAACGCTGATGGCGTTCACATGCGCATTAAGAGTTGATTCTATAGTTATGTGCGTTTGAATATATGTGCGCAGGATTGTAATTTCCTACAAACCATGCCTAAACAAACTACTTGTCTTGCCTATAAATTTTGATACAGAATTTTATTTTATTTTATCACTTCGGGGTACGCAAACCGAAATTTCTTACTTACTTCTTGTACTTGTTCAGATTACATTTTCCGGTACAAATTCTTATGTTGGTCATACTTCCGAAAAGTAGAACATGAGTTGTGCTTCGGCACGGCACAGCGAGGATGAATCCGATGTTTTGAGGAGAGTGTGAGGCTGTCAGTCGCCGCGCCGGTGTGGATCATAAACTGTGGATACTGGCATTCAGAATCACAGATTATACTTTTTGGAAGTATGACCAACATAAGAATTTGTACCGGAAAATGTAATCTGAACAAGTAAGTAACATCCACTTTTGTTCTGACCAACTAAGGGGAAAAAGCATAGCAGTAAATCGCGCTGATTAAATATAACGATCGCTTATCTTATCACGTCAAACCGTGCAAATTATACTTTGTTCTCAAATTGTTAATATTCAACGTCAGCATTGCGTGACTACATGTAATGCCCTTCCGATATTATCCTTGTCTTCGCATGGGTCCGGTTGCAGTCTCTTTTCTTCTGTAGCCGATCTGAAGTCTGAACGAAGTCTTTAGCATTTTACAGCGGGTGAATCTGTTGTCGCTGGTGATCGTCGTTTGAACCTTTCTGGATCCGCCATCAAATTGATGTTTAATTATATCAAGTGCTGTGAGAAAAGGCTATAAATCTCCACCTCCAGCATCCTCACACTCAACATAGCTTATACTAGCCGAGACTCTTCTTTATGTGTACAGATGTGTGTGTGCAGATGTGTGTGTGCAGATGTGTGTGTGCAGATGTGTGTGTACAGATGTGTGTGAACAGATGTGTGTGTACTGATGTGTGTGTACTGATGTGTGTGTACTGATGTGTGTGTACAGATGTGTGTGTGTACAGATGTGTGTGAACAGATGTGTGTGTGTACAGATGTGTGTGTACAGATGTGTGTGTACAGATGTGTGTACAGATGTGTGTGTGTACAGATGTGTGTGTGTACAGATGTGTGTGAACAGATGTGTGTGTACTGATGTGTGTGTACTGATGTGTGTGTACTGATGTGTGTGTACAGATGTGTGTGTGTACAGATGTGTGTGTGTACAGATGTGTGTGTGTACAGATGTGTGTGTACAGATGTGTGTGTACAGATGTGTGTACAGATGTGTGTGTGTACAGATGTATGTGTACAGATGTGTGTGTACAGATATGTGTGTGTACAGATGTGTGTGTGTGTACAGATGTGTGTGAACAGATGTGTGTGTACTGATGTGTGTGTACTGATGTGTGTGTACTGATGTGTGTGTACAGATGTGTGTGTGTACAGATGTGTGTGTGTACAGATGTGTGTGTGTACAGATGTGTGTGTACAGATGTGTGTGTACAGATGTGTGTGTACAGATGTGTGTGTACTGATGTGTGTGTACTGATGTGTGTGTACAGATGTGTGTGTACAGATGTGTGTGAACAGATGTGTGTGTACTGATGTGTGTGTACTGATGTGTGTGTACAGATGTGTGTGTGTACAGATGTGTGTGTGTACAGATGTGTGTGTGTACAGATGTGTGTGTGTACAGATGTGTGTGTACAGATGTGTGTGTACAGATGTGTGTGTGTACAGATGTGTGTGTGTACAGATGTGTGTGTACAGATGTGTGTACAGATGTGTGTGTACAGATGTGTGTGTACATATGTGTGTGTACAGATGTGTGTGTGTACAGATTTGTGTGTGTGTGTACAGATGTGTGTGTGTACAGATGTGTGTGTGTACAGATGTATGTGTACATATGTGTGTGTACAGATGTGTGTGTGTGTACAGATGTGTGTGTACATATGTGTGTGTACAGATTTGTGTGTACATATGTGTGTGTACAGATGTGTGTGTGTACAGATTTGTGTGTGTGTGTACAGATGTGTGTGTGTACAGATGTGTGTGTGTACAGATGTATGTGTACAGATGTGTGTGTACAGATGTGTGTTTACAGATGTGTGTGTGTACAGATGTGTGTGTACAGATGTGTGTGTACAGATGTGTGTGTACAGATGTGTGTGTGTGTACAGATGTGTGTGTACAGATTTGTGTGTGTGTGTACAGATTTGTGTGTGTGTGTACAGATTTGTGTGTGTGTGTGCAGATGTGTGTGTGTGTGTGCAGATGTGTGTGTGTACAGATGTGTGTGTGTGTACAGATGTGTGTGTACAGATGTGTGTGTGTACAGATGTGTGTGTACAGATGTGTGTGTACAGATGTGTGTGTGTACAGATGTGTGTGTGTACAGATGTGTGTGTGTACAGATGTGTGTGTGTACAGATGTGACGTAATGATGCAAAGACATGCTCGAATCTCCCGTGGAAATCCACCAGTCCCACTGGAATTAAAAACATTATTACAAGCTTACCGTTTTGAGTCGAGCTACGGCAAGCAGAGAGTTTTGAACACTGGCTGGATATGTATTTAAAATTAAAAATTTATTTTGGATAATTTTTAACCCAAAAAAGCTACGGACTACAGCTTTAAATTATCAAGACGTTAATTAATTAATAAATAATCCCATCTAGGGCAACAGTAAAAAAATAAATGTGCACATTGTAACCCAACCTTGAATTTGCGTTGCAGAGAGTCACTTTCGTCCCTCTTGAGTTGAAGCTTATTTCGAAAATCATCACGTTCTCTCTTCAGATCCTGATTGACCCGATCAAGACTCTTCATCTCCTCCTAAAATGATGAAGGATAAACATAAATTCTCATCAGCTGCTTTCAGTTAAGTGTGCTTACCCAGCTAACAATAATACAGGTGAAACTCGAAAAATTTGAATATGGTGCAAAAGTTCATTTATTTCAGTAATTCAACTTAAAAGGTGAAACTAATATTTATTTGTTATAAATTTGATGATTATGACTTACAGTTATGAAAACCTTTTCACAATATACTAATTTTGAATTTGGGGTTTTCATAACTGTAAGCCATCATCACAATTATAACAAATAAAGGCTTGAAATATCTCACTTTGCATGTAATGAGTCTATATAATATATTAGTTTCACCTTTTAAGTTGAATTACTGAAATAAATGAACTTTTGCACGATATTCACATTTTTCAAGTTTCACCTGTATAATTAAATAATGTTTTTGTGCTAACATTTAAATATCATTTTTAAAGGCCTGATAGCTCTGAACGTTGGTTCCTAACTTTGAGAGAACCTTGCCAAGTAGGGTAACATGAGGGATGATGACCCCCGGGGCAAGATGAGCCACCCACCCACTTTATTTTTTCTCCTCACCATAGATGACAAAATCTCATCTCAGCACTTTTAATAAATGTCTATGCTATTTAAAATTTTGACTTTTCATCTCAGTGTTTCCCCTACCATTGTTTTAGGGGGGCGGCCCGCCCCCCCAAAACGACCCCCCGCCCCCCTAAAATGCTGACGAAATCCAGTCATAAAAAAGGAATTTACGCGGAATTTCACGGAATTTGTCAATCTTTTGAGGAATAAATAGAAAGCAGTTCAGTACACTTGAAATCAAATCGCGATGTAGACTAGTGTCTGTGAATATTAAACCACAAAGACAATTTAAATATGAATCCTGCTTGTTCTCTGTGAATGAATGGTGCAGCCGACGCGCAGTTTCATTTACCGCACACACACACACACACACACTGGAGCACATGTGACGCTTGCGCTGTTTTTTTTGCCTATATAAAGACACAAATGCATAAACTTCCTCTCCAGGCTCTAGATCCACTCCGAAAGTCACTTCGTGATCATTTTACCGCTTCATTTGAGAAAAACTATCATTATGACATAAACACACACAAACTCAAAAGGTCTTCACGGCAACTCGTCAAAATAAAAGTTCGGTTTAACTTGACAGAAATATATTACCGTTGTACAGTAGAATTTAGATATGTCCCAATGTAATAATACTAACACTAATCCAAATAAATTATCATCAAAACTGAATTTTTTAAGGAATAATCCATGCTTTAATTTTAACAGTAAAGCTCATTGTGCAGCACGTTATTTGACAAAAAGTTTATTTAATTTCATATGATTAAAATTGATGATAAATGATAAAAATTTGTGTTTTATTTCTTCATTTTATTACCAGAAAAAACACAACACAGAGTTAGTGTGAATTTTTTTTCATATATATTTTTTTAAATGTTGTATAAGTTTAATGATTCATAATACATTATTTCACTCAATTAGACACTCTTTTTGATTGCTAAAAAAATGACACAACGTATCCGTAACACGCCCGCTCAGCAACACTAGCAGCCCAACCTCAAACCCCCCCAAAAAAAATCCTAGGGGAAACACTGCTGAATATCAACATTTGTGAGATTTAGTCAGCTGAAACAGTTTTGAGGGCAATTGATCAAACAAAAAAATTTCTGGAAAATAGTGTTTTATGGCATTGTATTATGTTGAATGTCAAAGTCTTTTGTGTCTATTTGTTAATTAGGGATTTGAGGACATATTAATGTTTATAGATCTGTGGAGTAAAAGTTATAGTGTTTAGTTTGAAGTAAAGAGATCAAATTAGGCCCTTGGGGTAAGATGGGTCATCCAGAATTGGCGCAGAAGGCAACAGGTTGTTTTTAGTGTTATTTTTCAATGTAATACTTATTGTAACTATTGGTGTTATTATTCAGCATTTCTATGAATTACCGTAGATGTACATTTCAGACATCTTTATTTCAACTTTCATTAAAACCTATATGTTAATTGAGTGAAATCATTTAATTAGATCTCTCAGTGTTTATGACATATTTTTTATTAAAATATAGGCAATTAAATAAGTAAATATTCATATGCCTGTATATAAGTAATATCATTTACCTTTTTTAGATAAATCTCTTTTACTGGTATTCTGCTTTGTCTGTCATCGGTTATTCAACTAAATTGTCAAAATAAAACTTTAAATACAATAGCTGATTTAGAATTTTACATTAATGACACTTTAAAAATATATAAATATTAATAAGAATTATATCAAAAGTAATTTATACACTGTGTAAAATTGTATCCAGTAGGGGCAGGCTTACCTCTTTTAATATTTGACATGTTGTGCTATAACAACTAGGCTAAATTAGCAAATATTTCAATTTATATTTATTTCCTTTAATAACTCATGGTCTGATGCATCATCATCCTGCACATGCTAAACTTATATCTGAATATGTTGCTGTTTAAAAGTAAACCCACATAGTTCTTGAGGGAGTTATCTTCCCCCATGTTACCCTAAGTTTTGAGAAAGTTCCATGTTATTGGTTATTATAGCATCGAAATTCACCTGTACTTCTTGAAAATCTCTCTTAAATTGCTCTCCCAGTTCTTCTTCAGAATCCATAAACGCCTTAAGTTCTGCCTCGGCTTTTCTCTTTTCGTCATCAGCTGCAGCTTTTTCCAGCAGCAATCTGGATCTTTCATTATCAGCAGACTCAACGAGATCCTGTGTGGACATAATTAATAATGCAAATGTTCGATATAGATAATTTATGATGAATTGTTCGTGAAGTTTGTGTGTGTTTTTAACCTTGTATTTCTGTAGCTCCGCCTCAGCAGCGATCATCTCGTCGTCCAGGCTGCGAAGCTGTTCGTTTTGAACACGATTTTAGACAAGTTTTTCACTAAAGCATTATAAAATGTTAAACTGAATTCACATCAAAAAAGTGTGTGAAACGGACGTACCTCGCCGTTTAGGTCTTCTGGGTTGTCAGACATGTCTCAAGCGAAATCGAAATAGGCTAACTTATCTGAAGAAAAAAGAAGAAGAGACGATGAAATACTTGTCCAATGACTAAATTATCATATATATATTCAGTGAATATTATTCACCATCACCACGTATTATTTACCTCCCAACTTCCTGATTGCCTTGTAGCTACTTGATCAGAAGTCACGTGAGCGAAAGTGAAAGTATCTGAGGTAAAAAGACGAATCAAACCACCAAATACTTGTCCAGTGACTAAATGATCAGATTTATATTCAGTAAATATTATTAGCCGCTTATTATTTACCTCCCAACTTCCTGATCCCAAACTTGCCTCGTATTGATAAGAAGTCACGTGAGCGATCTGAAGTAAAAGCGAAAGGACCGGTTGAATCGACTCGGTGCTTTCTTGAAATTCTTCATTTATGAATTGTTGTGAGTGTCTCCGTGTGACAATATGCCTGACAGTTTACTTTTGAGCGTTTTTGTCACAGTTTTGTGACTTTAAAAGAAAGTTAGACTACTTCTCAACTCTTTGGTGCGCAAATATGGAAGAGAAAAGTCTGATTCTCGAGGGTTTGCCGGATGATTTTGACCGTGTGAAATCAAAGGTTGAGCTTTATTTTAAAAATAAAAGAAGATCTGGAGGAGAAATCGAGCAGATTCGAGAACACCAAGACGACAAACGAAAAGCACTTCTTATTTATATGAGGGAAGAAGGTGAGTCTATATAGCAACATCATAATTGATAGCTAAAACAAAAACTAACACTGATACACTTAAAGGAAGCTTAGGCTATTTACTGAACTGGAAGCTTAATTATTTCCTCCACGGAAAAAATAAATAAAAATAAAGGTAATTGCCATGGTTTATCTGACTTTTCTACAACACTGAGAAAATTCAGAATTACGAAATATTATAAACTCGCATGTTTTTTTAATTTATCTGTAATGTATTTCTATGTGTGTTTACTTATTTTTATTGTATTGTAGCCTACTTTATTATTAGCCTATTATTATTATTATTATTATTATTTTTAATTGTTATTGCAGCCTAAACCTACCTTTTCCTACGCCACATAACGCTTTTCCCGAATTATGTGAGTAACTTCCGTTAAAATGTAAACAATCAGTGAAAGTTTCGCTCTATAAGCATTTTCAAAACCTGGGTAGCCTACAATGATATGAAATTATTCTACTCATTTGGGTAGAAAAACGAGAGATTCGTATTGCATTCCAGTCAATTAAATCGGGCCACAAATGCGCAATTATTGTATTTTTTCATACAGCGGAATAAGGAAGGAGAGAAAGAATGCAGCGTCTGAAAAGAGCTTGTCATACATCTTGGCATGTCACATTTAAACACCAAGTATCACGTTATTCTATGTATCTAGGCTATATGACAATAGTAGATGAAGTAAATTTGTAGTTACGTTAATTCAGTCAAACTGATTGACAAGTAGGGTAGTATTTGTAGCCTTATGATTTTAAATGATTGTTTTCTTTTTGAGTGGAACTTCCCCAAACCGGAAGTCCCTCCCATAATCTGAAATGCAGTAGGCTCGTTTTAAGAATTTTCCTTTTTTTTTAATGTTACATAGAGGATTTACTTTATATTTGTTATGAATGCTAAAGAAAGTGAGATATAAACTCGCAATTCTGAAGAAAAATATGAGAATTCTGAGATTTGGAATTGTGAGATCAAAACACGCAGTTGTTAGAAAAGAGCATTGTGAGATAAAAAGTCACAATTATATATTTTTTGTTCAGTAGCACAAACAACCTTCCAGCTTCCAGCTCAAAACAAACCTTCCACAACGTTACATAACATACATGATTAAAAAAGAACTGAAATAGTTTGGGAAATGAAAGAGTTTTACAGAGAATTCCCCTGTTTTCCAGATCTGAAGAAGGTGCTTGACAAAAGAATCCATAAAGTTGATTTCAAATCTAAGGGAACAGTTGAAGTGACAGTGAAACTACCAGAAGACACGAAAAGCAAAAAGATCAAACCACAAGTTCTGCCAAAGCCCAAGCTGGAGAAAAGCGCTCTCCTCAAGTCACTGCCCGCTCCTGCAAACCAGGTGATTCTGTTTTCTGTTATTAGGCTATTTATGAATTATCATCATTAATACATTTGCATTACATTTAATCACTTAGCAGACGCTTTCATCTAAAGCGACTTACAACTGAGCAGAGCAATTGAAGCAATAATTTGGAGCAAATTATGTGCCATAATTAAACAAACAAATCCAGCATTTTGCAAACAAACTCGATCTGCTTTGCAAAGGAAAACTCGACTCGCAAACAAACAGAAAGCAATTTGCAAAAACAAAGGTCAATTTGTACGGAAGCGTTAATTATCTCAGAATTACGAGATCATTTTTCATGGAAAAAAGTTTTTGCTCTGTTTTTCTGAATTAATGACTTAATTATTTCAAAATTATGAGTAACTCATTAATTCATAAAAACAGAGTGAAAAAATGTTTTTCAAGAAAAATGTATCTCGTAATTCTGAGATAATTAACTCGTAATTTCAGAAAAACAGAGCAAAAACTTTTTTTCCATGAAAAATTATCTCGTAATTCTGAGATAATTAACTCGTTAATTCAGAAAAACAGAGTAGATTTTTTTTCTTCAAGTGAATGCAAAACGCTTCCGTAAATTTGAGTGAAAATGCAGTGGAGTAACCAATATGTTTTACAAATATAAATAAATGAGCCTAGATAATATTTCACAAATAAATACAAAACATCCTACAAATTGCATGTAACCTTTGAACAAATACCAAATCTAGGACAAATGCCTGGACACATTTGTGAGAAAATCAAGCCGAGAGATCTCACAATCGTAACAGACAGATATGCATTTGTATGCACTAGATTTGGTATTTGTTCAAAGGTTACATGCAATTTGTTGGATGGTTTGTATTTATTTGTGAAATAGCCTGTTATCTAGGCTAATTTATTTATATTTGTAAAACAAAATATTGGTTATTCCACTGCATTTTCGCTCAAATTGACCTTTATTTTAGCAAATTGCTTTCTGTTTGTTCGCGAGTCGAGTTTTCCTTTCCAAAGCAGATCGAGTTTGTTTGGAAAATGCTGGATTTGTTTGTTTAATTATGGCACATAATTCGCTCCATACCAATCAAACCAACAATAGGGCAACAATATGTAAGTACTGTGACTAGTCCCAATTAGTCTTTACATTTTTTTTAATAGATATATAGAATAGTAATTCTGGCTGGGATGAGAGGTAGAGTGTGTTAGTGTAGCAATTAAATGAAAAACCATGTTTCTGAGTGACAGATCCATGTAGATGAAGAAAAGAAGTGGTCCAAGCACTGAGCCCTGATGCACTCCAGTAGCTATATGATGCGATTTAGACTCACACATTAGACTACGAGTTTCAAAATATCATGATTTATGCCTCTTTTGAAAGACAAGGACCCAATGGTACATTTACGCAACACTCCAGCTTAATATGGGTCCCAATCTTGATTTAAAATATCAAAGAAACATAAGAGAAATACAGTTAGGGGTGTAACAATACCCTCATGTCACAATTCGATACATATCACGATACTGAACTCACGATATTATTGCGATACACCAAGACATGGTAAAAAGTTAACAAAAAATGCAGTTGATTAAAATGCTAAATTGTATATTACATTGGTGTGTAAGTGAATTGGCTTGGACTTGGTGCTGGAAACCCAAAGCACAGGGCAATAGAGACGCCAGAATAACAATATTCATGATTCTGAAGCTGAAAATAGTTATTTTAGACGAATATGCTTGCATTGTTTCACGACTAGATATATTTAAAATAATGAAGGCTAATTTTTACTTGTAACATGAGACATTTGGCATTATCAGGACCCACAAATATCCCCCCTGTAATTTAAAACTAGGTCAGATGAATGTTCATATGCTCACACACTTCCTCCTTATTGTACAAAGGTCTCTGCAGTAGGACAGCCTGCAACAGAAATTAAAGATCATAAAGGTTTGACTATAATGCTTTTACTTTTAGTGTTTAAAAATATTCACAGATTTCAAAACATTAACAATAAGACCTTGGTCACATGTATATATTTGTTCATAATACAGACAATGAGGAGGATTCAGAAATACCAGATCTTCTAATTACCACCCCTTCATTAACTTCGGTTGATAAGGAAACACTTCAGATGTATTTTGAGCAATTTACAGAGCAATTTGAGCTAGCAAAGCACGGAAATAACAGCTGGATCCTGAAACTCTACAGCCAGTCAGGTATGATTTAAGACCAATGTTGCACTGGGAGTTTGTTTACTAGCCACTCATAATGTAACATGAAACCAGTTTTGCAAGTCTATTTTTGGTGCTTTACTTACACACGATGTAGGCCTAATTCTGTTTCATAGAAACTATCATTAAACAACTAGCACTAGCTTAGTCAGACTCAGAGCTTACCTTAAAGAACATTAACAAAGCAAATCATGATGATTAGTTGTCATTTTTTAGATCAAAATTAACAATGTTGACCCTTTTCTCAGACTTCAAGGAGATTTTTGGCAAGGAAGAACATGATATTGGTGTATCTTTACAAGTGTATAATGAGGGAAGTCTGGGAGAGAAGTCAGACCCCCGTCGCTTCATCTTGACGGGGTTTGATGGCGACACAGACTGCAAGAAAATCTCAGTGTTCATTGGCAGCTGTAGCAAGACACCAGAATACACTTGGGAGACACTTGATGATGATGATAGGATTGTTGTCACCTTCAAACAAGATATTGGTGGGTTTGGAAGTCATTATGGGTGTCTGTTATTGTCACTCTCTGCAATGTTTTGTCCTCTTTCTGGGACGCCTGCTTATTTTCCTTTGTCTTTGGGGTCTACTATGTAGCAAATTAGCTCTATGAAATATTAATAATCAATCATAACTTGTTATAATTGATTATGAATATTTGGATCAGTTAGTCGGGTTAACTTGATGTAGCTACATTAACATTACAACCAATTACTCGGTTAATCCCGTGAACACTCAATATTGGTTATTAATTAATGAATAGAAATGTACATTTCCGGGTCATGAGAAATGTCTTTCTAAGTACTACTAAGAGCAAGTAGCCAAGATCGACATGTACAATACACTGTGTTACATGGAAATAAAGTCACCTAAGCATATAATCTGAGCCGTCATTAATATTCACAATAATGCTCTTCAGTTAAAGCCTTTTGCAAATGAGTAAAACAGAAATCAGAATCAGAAAAAAGACTTAATATCTTAAGTCATTTTGCTTCTCCAGTAAATGTATCTTGATTTAAGAACGTCTAGACATTTGTAATAGAAAACAAGACAAAAATACAGAGGAAGAAAATCATAGTTTTGCAGCTCATTTTAATAGTAATTCACGATTTTAATACATGACAGATTTTCAGATCTAACCTCTACAGTTTGTGCTAAATCTTACCACCTTTCATCATTGCAAATAATCTGAAAATGAATCATTAATGACATTAAAACCAGAGGACATTGAGGAATAAAAGCAAAGATTTATCACTATACACTCTCTCTTAAAAATAAAGGATCTTTATGGTTCAGTGAAGAACCTTTAACATTTATGAACCACTAAAGGTTCGTTAAAGTGGAAAAACGATTGCAAAAATAATTCTGTAAATGTTCTGTTTTTAATCAATAGGAAGAAAAGTGACCTACATTTGACACCATCTTCTGTCTCCACGCTCCACCGTTGTGTTTTATATTCTCATGAAACGCTTGTTTACGATTCAGCAACTTTGATCAATACAAGTAATGTTAGACAGACTGGAATCAATTAATAAATAATCTCATCCAGGGCACCAGTAAATATATAAATGTTCACATTGTCAACAGATGTTCACACTTCACTGTTTTACACTCTTAAAAATAAAGGTTATTTATTGTCATTGATGGTCCCATGGAACATTTCCAATGCACAAAAGGTTCTTTATAGTGTAAAAAGGTTCTTTAGATTATTAAAGTGTTCTTCACACGAAAAAAATAAATAAATACATAAAATAAAATTCTTTGGTGAACCAAAAATAGCTCTTCTATGGCTCTGCTGTGACAAAAACAAACACTTTCGCAACCTTTATTTATAAGAGTGAAATCTCAGAGTCAAAATAAGATACACCGGTGTTTTGCCAGATGAGAAGTTTATTCTATGTATCATCTTTTTACTATTTTAATTCATTTTACTCTAATTAACTGTATCATTTATCTCCTTTAATTCCTTTTATAACTGCTTTAATTCCCCCTGCTTTTATTTTGTGTCTATTTTCTATGAATTGCTATAGTGTGATTATTATAATTCCTTTCTATGTAAAGCTGTTTGAATTTTCCTTGCTTTTATTTTGGGATTATTTCCTCTCTATGTAAAGCACTTTGAATTACCATAGTGTATGAAATGTGCTATATAAATAAACTTGCCTTTAACTGGAGAAAATGAATGACTGCCGGCTGTGGTCAACATTCAAATAAGAAATAAAACTGAGTTAATGACGACATACTTGTGAATTTCACATTTCAAAAGAACATGTAAAGCCTAGATAATTTTTTTTCCTTTTTCATTTTATCAACAGACGTGAAATCATTTATAAGAAAATGCACCTCAAAGCAACTGCAGGGCCGAGACATCGGAGTGACGCGCATGGAGCGGACGGACTCGGTCCTGGTCCAGGGAGATCTGGAGAAGATCAGTGAAGACATTCTCACCCTTTACTTCAGCAACAAGAAGAAGAGCAGAGGAGGAGATATCCAGAACTTCATATGGATCAACAGACGAATGAGCGCCGTCATCACCTTTGGGAACTGTGACGGTAGGTTTTCAGATTAGCTGCAATAATGAAATCTTCGTTTAACACAGTACACCGCAAAAAAATATATAGGGATGCACGGTATATCGGTACAGGCCGATCTATGTTCATTTTTAATGTTATCCTTCTCGGCGCAATAAAAAAATGTGGCCGAATCCGATATATTATTATATATACAGTGCCTTGAGAAAGTATTCGGCACCCTTGAACTTTTCGACCTTTTGCCACATTTCAGGCTTCAAACATAAAGATATAAAACTGTAATTTTTTGTGAAAGAATCAACAACAGGTGGGACACAATCATGAAGTGGAACGAAATTTATTGGATATTGCAAACTTTTTTAACAAATAAAAAACTGAAAAATTGGGCGAGCAAAATTATTCAGCCCCTTTACTTTCAGTGCAGCAAACTCTCCAGAAGTTCAGTGAGGATCTCTGAATGATCCAATGTTGACCTAAATGACTAATGATGATAAATAGAATCCACCTGTGTGTAATCAAGTCTCCGTATAAATGCACCTTCTCTGTGATAGTCTCAGAGGTCCGTTTAAAGCACAGAGAGCATCATGAAGAACAAGGAACACACCAGGCAGGTCCGAGATACTGTTGTGGAGAAGTTTAAAGCCGGATTTGGATACAGAAAGATTTCCCAAGCTTTAAACATCCCAAGGAGCACTGTGCAAGCGATAATATTGAAATGGAAGGAGTATCAGACCACTGCAAATCTACCAAGACTTGGCCTTCCCTCTAAACTTTCAGCTCATACAAGGAGAAGACTGATCAGAGATTCAGCCAAGAGGCCAATGATCACTCTGGATGAACTGCAGAGATCTACAGCTGAGGTGGGAGACTCTGTCCATAGGACAACAATCAGTCGTATACTGCACAAATCTGGCCTTTATGGAAGAGTGGCAAGAAGAAAGCCATTTCTTAAAGATATCCATAAAAAGTGTCGTTTAAAGTTTGCCACAAGCCACCTGGGAGACACACCAAACATGTGGAAGAAGGTGCTCTGGTCAGATGAAACCAAAATCGAACTTTTTGGCAACATTGCAAAACGTTATGTTTGGCGTAAAAGCAACACAGCTCATCACCCTGAACACACCATCCCCACTGTCAAACATGGTGGTGGCAGCATCATGGTTTGGGCCTGCTTTTCTTCAGCAGGGACAGGGAAGATGGTTAAAATTGATGGGAAGATGGATGGAGCCAAATACAGGACCATTCTGGAAGAAAACCTGATGGAGTCTGCAAAAGACCTGAGACTGGGACGGAGATTTGTCTTCCAACAAGACAATGATCCAAAACATAAAGCAAAATCTACAATGGAATGGTTCACAAATAAACACATCCAGGTGTTAGAATGGCCAAGTCAAAGTCCAGACCTGAATCCAATCTAGAATCTGTGGAAAGAACTGAAAACTGCTGTTCACAAACGCTCTCCATCCAACCTCACTGAGCTCGAGCTGTTTTGCAAGGAGGAATGGGCAAAAATTTCAGTCTCTCGATGTGCAAAACTGATAGAGACATACCCCAAGTGACTTACAGCTGTAATCGCAGCAAAAGGTGGCGCTACAAAGTATTAACTTAAGGGGGCTGAATAATTTTGCACGCCCAATTTTTCAGTTTTTTATTTGTTAAAAAAGTTTGAAATATCCAATAAATTTCGTTCCACTTCATGATTGTGTCCCACTTGTTGTTGATTCTTTACAAAAAATTACAGTTTTATATCTTTATGTTTGAAGCCTGAAATGTGGCAAAAAGTCGAAAAGTTCAAGGGTGCCGAATACTTTCACAAGGCACTGTATATTAAAGCCGATAAATAATGGATTATTTCCTTCAGCTGAGACACTTCAGATGCACACTGTTCGACGTGATGGTTTTGAATTGCTTGAAATATGATTGGAATCACTATAAAAAAGGAAAATACTGTTAAGTGCTGTTAGGGGTAAACCGTTAAAGACCCAGAACCAGATATGATGAATCAAGACCCGGAGTCATAATTATAATAAATTAAAGAAAAGTTTTACTGAAGATAGTTTGATTCAGCAGAAGTCAGCTTCAAGACTCACACGGGAGTTCGTAGGTTCGTAGGATCATAGCAGTTATACTCTTCACCACACACACACACACACACACACACACACACACACACACACACACAGTAGTTATACCCTTCACCAAGGTCTAAGCTACGTCCTTGCTTCAGGTTGAATGATTCTCATTGGCTAAGAAATAGATAAACATAGTAATTTTCCACACATATACAGATAGACTGAAGCATATCTCCATGGATTATGCAGCGG